AATCCATTTTCAAATGATTTCAAATTTCTTAAATATTAATTAAAATAAATAAAATTATATCGGCTTTATATCGGCCATCGGCCACCCTGCTTTCCAAGATATCGGCATAGGCTGTCAAAAAACCAATATCGGTCGACCACTAATGACAAGAATAAATACAAAATGTACAATTTAAAAAAATACAATATATGTATGTATGTACATATATACACCACTTTTATGAAGCTTTTATGTTTTTTATTATTATTATTTATTTATTTTTGTAATAATGGAGCTTGACATTCTGGATATCCATTTACTTTCATTATACAGTATATAAAAGAGCAGCAAGTACATTCTTGAACAGAAGAAAGCAAATAATATGAGTTTGGAATGATAGAATTATTCCTTCAAGGTTTCAATTCTTCTGAGATCATTTATAGATAACATTAAACATTTAAAGCAACATAAAATGAGGGCTTAAAAATCAAGCTTTATTTAACCCCAGATATAGAGTGTTTCAGGATGTGGGGTCCGATTGAAAACCAAATGCATTAAAGTTTCCATTTAGTCCAGAGTGTTTCACCTTTATAGGTAAATAGTGCAGAACAAGCGGGAAGCAGATTCCCATCTCTCTAATTGACCCGTCTGGGCACGCCATTGATTAAGCAGAGAAAATGGAGTCTGCTTATCAAACACACTCTCACACGCACACACCTGCAGAGCATAGAAAATCACATCCTGTACTGAGTCAGCACGAACCACAGCGTCGGAGTGGAATCAGTTTTTAAGGGTACTGGATATTGAACAGGACACAGTCTGTGATACCATCCCCTCGTATCTGAGACACAGATGGAAGGTCTGGATTAATGACCAGATTGGAACTATTTTAAATGAAATTAGATGTTCTCACTATAATAATTGCAAATAGAGGCAAATCTAATGTGCACTTGTTGAAAAGATGGATGATTGAATAACCAAAGGTATAAATGTTGGCAGCATTTTCATAATTCTTTTCAACTGCCTGTGTTCTGCTACATAAGCTAATTCAGCTAATCACTTCTGAATAAAATATTTAAATTGGAATATTTATAGTAGAAACTCTTATACTACTCTTTTTCATGACACATGAAGATGCATGTTTATCCAGATCAATACAAATGTTCCTTTGTTTTGTTCATCAGGGGACGAACTTGACTGATATTTGCACCGAACTGTTGCTCCAAGGCAACCTTTTGAAGATATCAGCTGGAAACATCCAGGAACGGGTCTTCTTCCTGTTTGACAACCTCCTAGTCTACTGCAAGAGGAAGTCCCGGTTAGGCCTTAAAGATGCTTTTGAGTCTTGTCTGTAATGTTGGTAACCTACCTGCATAACCATAAGCATAAACATGTTTTCTAGTAGATTACTATTATCCCTAGTTGTTAACACTTCACTGAAACAGCCATCAGAATCATGTGTAGAAACTAAACAATACTGGTCTCATTTTTTCACCCTTTAAAAATCCAGAGTGTCTGGGAAGAAATCCACCAAAAGGACAAAATCCATCAACGGGCCGCAGTACGTGTTCAGAGGCCGCATCAACACTGAGGTCATGGAGGTCGAGAATGTGGAAGACGGAACTGGTAGGTTTGAGTTTGTTAGTGCTTTTAAAGTGTTTTGCATGTGTTATGTATTTTCATGCTGCTTAAGAGTATTGAATTGTTAGCTTAGCAACATGCTAACTTCAAAGTCTATTCAAATCAGTTGAGTTTCCTGTGCAGCTTAGTAGGTTTTGAAACGATTGTGTTTGTATCCTGCCACACAAATATTCATGTTTTAAAGATTTTTAAGGTTTTTAACAAAAGAGGTCTGTTATGCTCTTCACTGCATTTATTTCCATCAAAAATACAGTAAAACGGTAATATTGTGAAATATTATTACAAAATAAAATAACTTTGCTTAAAAATCAGGCTTTATTTAACCCCAGATATAGAGTGTTTCAGGATGTGGGGTCCGATTGAAAACCAAATGCATTAAGTTTCCATTTAGTCCAGAGTGTTTCACCTTTATAGGTAAATAGTGCAGAACAAGCGGGAAGCAGATTCCCATCTCTCTAATTGACCCGTCTGGGCACGCCATTGATTAAGCAGAGAAAATGGAGTCTGCTTATCAAACACACTCTCACACGCACACACCTGCAGAGCATAGAAAATCACATCCTGTACTGAGTCAGCACGAACCACAGCGTCGGAGTGGAATCAGTTTTTAAGGGTACTGGATATTGAACAGGACACAGTCTGTGATACCATCCCCTCGTATCTGAGACACAGATGGAAGGTCTGGATTAATGACCAGATTGGAACTATTTTAAATGAAATTAGATGTTCTCACTATAATAATTGCAAATAGAGGCAAATCTAATGTGCACTTGTTGAAAAGATGGATGATTGAATAACCAAAGTTATAAATGTTGGCAGCATTTTCATAATTCTTTTCAACTGCCTGTGTTCTGCTACATAAGCTAATTCAGCTAATCACTTCTGAATAAAATATTTAAATTGGAATATTTATAGTAGAAACTCTTATACTACTCTTTTTCATGACACATGAAGATGCATGTTTATCCAGATCAATACAAATGTTCCTTTGTTTTGTTCATCAGGGGACGAACTTGACTGATATTTGCACCGAACTGTTGCTCCAAGGCAACCTTTTGAAGATATCAGCTGGAAACATCCAGGAACGGGTCTTCTTCCTGTTTGACAACCTCCTAGTCTACTGCAAGAGGAAGTCCCGGTTAGGCCTTAAAGATGCTTTTGAGTCTTGTCTGTAATGTTGGTAACCTACCTGCATAACCATAAGCATAAACATGTTTTCTAGTAGATTACTATTATCCCTAGTTGTTAACACTTCACTGAAACAGCCATCAGAATCATGTGTAGAAACTAAACAATACTGGTCTCATTTTTTCACCCTTTAAAAATCCAGAGTGTCTGGGAAGAAATCCACCAAAAGGACAAAATCCATCAACGGGCCGCAGTACGTGTTCAGAGGCCGCATCAACACTGAGGTCATGGAGGTCGAGAATGTGGAAGACGGAACTGGTAGGTTTGAGTTTGTTAGTGCTTTTCTAGTGCAATTAAAAATACATTATTTTACCCAGTTTTACAGGTGATGTGTATTTTCATGCTGCTTCGAGTATTGAATTGTTAGCTTAGCAACATGCTAACTTCAAAGCCTATTCAAATCAGTGGGTTGAGTTTCCAGTGCAGCTAAGTAGTTTTTGAAACTACTGTGTCTGTATCCTGCCACACAAATATTCACTAGTCTTAAAACATTTAGGGTCCGTAAGATTTGTAATGATTTTCAAAGAAGTCTCTTAAGCTCACCACTGCATTTATTTGATCAAAAATATAATAAAAACATTAATATTGTGTAATAATTATATAATAATAATAATATATTTTAAAATGTCATTTATGCTTGTGACGGCAAAGCTGAATTTTCAGCAGCCATTACTCCAGTCTTCAGAGTCACATGATCCTTCAGAAATCATTCTGATATGCTGATTTGTGCTCACGAAACGTTTCATATTATTGTCAATGTTGAAAACAGCTGTACTGCTTAATATTTTTGTGGAAGATGTGATATATTTTTTCAGGATTCTTTGACGAGTAGAAAGTTCAAAAGAACAGCATTTATTTGAAATACTGTAGAAATATTCAGTAACAATGTCAAAGTCTTTACTGTCACTTCTGATCAATTTAATGAATCATTAATTTCTGTAAAAAAAAAAAAAAAGCTTTTGAATGGTAGTGTACAAAGCAACGTTTTCTTGGGATGTGTAAGGGCGTTTCCTGTGTGATATCCTTTTTGTTCCATATGATCACCATGTGATACTTATGAACATCACAAGCAACAAACAAAACCATTTAAAGGGAACTTCAGCTGATGCAGTAGAAATTAGCGACTCTGTGTCCTGAAGATAAGATCACGCATGGCTTCCCAGAATCAAGCACTTTGCATTTAGCACCTCTGCTGCACTGACCGTTGAGGGGCCCTCGTCAAAGGTGCCGTTCAGCTATCGGGCCGAGCGTGAAATTGAACTCTCAGGGGAAGTAACGGCTGCTCTTCTCACCTTTTGCTCTTAGTCTTTCACCACACCTTAAGTAGCAGGGTGGAAGTGCAACTTCTCTCTCTCTCTATTTCTCAGAGCCACAAAGAATAACATCCTTTCTGAAAAACAAGCCATAGGGTTGTCACAGTACCAGCCTAAACCACACGTGCCTTCAGTTGATATGGCCAATGTGAGACTGTGCTTTGTGTTTCAATCTCTCAGTGTCATGTTGATCAGGGTTTGTGTCACATGGCGCTCCACATCTGTGTAAATGCATCATTTAGCTGGTGTGTTTTGCCTTATTGGATAAGGTTACAGATAAAATGACTCACATGCTGGGGGTGAAGATGGAAGGTAGTTTAAAATTCAGATTTTCGGCCTTATTGCAGTTTTATGATTACAGTGTTTCAAGGGAGATTTCAAGGCAGTTTAGTGTTGAATAATGATTGGAAGGGGTGGGTGTTATGACCAAAATCATATATCACGCTATGAGTAATTTTGTCATTTTGTTTAATATTTTATGCTGGAAATTCACATAATATAGTATATAGTATATAAAATCTAAAAATACATTTATAGTAATTTTATGAACATTAATTTAGTCTTATTTTTATATACCATTTTGTATGTGATTTTCCGGGGGGGGGGATATATATATATTATTTATAAATATTATCATAATTTGTCATTATTTTAAATATTAAATATTTTACAAATTATCTTTTTTTTTTTTGAAACTGTAAACCAAAAGATAGGATTATTTACAGTAAATGAATTACAATAAAAGGCTGACTTTACTGCAAAAGCAACACCATAATATGTAATGGTCATAATATGTAATATGTCTTGCGTTGAAAAAACAAGATTCAAAACAGTAAAAGTAATATAAAATGTATAGTTCTGACTCTAAATTTTAATTGGATCAGTCACATTTGAAGCAGTTATAAAATGGCACATCATGTGTGGCAATAGGGGAAAAAATGTGGCAACCGAAAACAACTAATCTCTATATTCTCACATTACTCCATGTTTCTCATCGCTCTCACATGTAAAAGCATGGCAATCTGATCTGCTTGTTTTGACTGAGCTATTGTTTTAATTGGAAAACAATCAGATAATGCTTAGGCTGTGTTTATTACTGAACCAGACTTGTGTGCCTAATACGATTACCCATAAATTCTCTCCAGTTTTATATGAGCTAAAAGCCTTTGTCAAATCCTCTCAGCGGTCTGAAATCTATTTATACTACCTCAACATTAACCACTGCTCATTACCTATTCCATACCTCATTCATTTTTCCATAAAATTCACCTGCTGTCAGGTCTGGGTTAAAATTGGACCGTGAGTAACAGTCTGAACCCCTCACTCACACACATGCTCTCTGTCAGGCTTTGGTTTAATGGTGGGAAAGAAGTGCCATGTGCCAAAATGCACCTTTAACGATTTCTCACACTAATGGGATAGTTTAACCTTTTTACCTTATTGATGCTTCTAGATTGTTGAAGTAACTCATTTAGTAATGGTAAGAGGGAACCTTTTTAACCTTGGTAATAAGCTGACAAAATTATATCTTAGCAGAAATGAGACCTCCCAGTTTTTTTAAGGTTAATTTGAAGGCGCAAATGATTTTGATTAGATGATCTGATCTGATTTTTGTAGACCCTTGGTGAACATCTTTATGTAGATTATGTAGCAACAAACTGATGTAGTTGTTTGCAGTGTTTATTGTTAGCATGCCATATAAGTTATAGTTGTGTTGTATATAATGTTTGTGTGATTCAATGGGTGTACTTAGTGCTGGGCGGTATACCGGTTCATACCGAATACCGGTGTTTATTTTTGTTATGATATGAATTTTTAAAATTCAGCAATACCGGTGCTTAAACAACGTTCGGAACGCGACACTGTTTGAAAGGGGTCCGTTTTCACTGTTGCACTGTGTTGAGGGAACAGCTGTATGTGTTACTAAGCATGAAAGTTCCGAAACTGAAGCTGTAGATAGGGCATTCTAAGTCAATATACCGCAGTATTTCCTCTCTCAATCAGTAGAAAATATGGTTAACACCCGGTCATGCATGAAAAAAAAAATAATACCATCATGTACCGTGAAACCGGTATAATTTTGAAAAATACCGTGATATAAAATTTTGGTCATACCGCCCAGCACTAGGTGTACTCATGTTAATAGTGTTTATGGATATTGTTTAACCTGTTTTGTTGTTTTTCATGTTCTTTTACTTTGTCTTTCTAGCGGACTATCACAGCAACAACTACACGGTGACCAGTGGCTGGAAGATTCACAACACGGCCAAAAACAAGTGGTTTGTGTGCATGGCCAAGAATGCTGAGGACAAGCAGAAATGGCTAGACGCCATTTTAAAGGAACGTGAACAGAGAGAGAGTGAGTAGTTTTACTCTAGTTTGTCATTGTGTAGTATGTAACATATGAGCATTAAATAACAGTTAAATGTATATTAAAAAATTAAACCTTTATGATCCATACAAAAATGTTTAAATCAAATCAAACCAAATCATTAACAAATTTCAGATGGCATGATGCGACTACAGATTTTACAATTTATCATGTTAACTTGGTAAATATTTATTGTGTTTAAATTATTAAAATGAATGCAATAAATCACATTGAAATTATTGTAAAATAAAGTTATTTTGAAAATGATTTTAAATTATTTTCAGAAGAATTTATCAAGTCATAACATTTAGTAAATAATCATACTAGAATTAAGTTATTGTCAAAGCAAATATTTACATCTACTGAATAAGAATGAACTTAATATCCTGCATTCTGCTATACCTAGTATGTTTTTATGTGGATTTTTTCTTCTGTTCTGTTTCGATATGAAACACCTGTCCTCTGCTGGACACCTGTTCTTGTTATCTCTGCTTTTGAGGCAGGGTTACTACAGGGTTGTTCTGATTGTTAGGTCACATGATCATAGCAGTAAAACCCCACATATACCACAGAGCCCATTCTGATCACTGCTCTTATGTTTCAGCATGAAGTATTAGTCTGTAGGATCAGTTACCAGTGTCCAAGACATAGTCCTCAACCAAAGTATTGTAATGCTGTGTTGGCGGCAGAGCGAGACGTCACTTTAATGCTGCAATGCCAGATGAAAGCAGAAGTTTTATGGAGCGTATCAGGTTTCCAGCATTTGAAATTGGAGCCCATTTCAACAGGTGCCACATCAGTCACACCTCTCTGACGGTCCAGATCTTCAAAGACATCATTGAGTACGTTTACATGGACAACAATACTCCGATTTTAATACGATTAAGACAATACTCTAATTAAGAATCTACCATGTAAACAGAGATTTTTGATTACCTTAATCCGGCTAAAGTCATAATCGAAGTAAACAGAAATCGAATTAAGACATGTGGAGTATTCCTATTTTAGTCGCATTACTGAAGTGCAGAATAGACATGTAAACACCTTAATCACATTATTACCGTCGTGTAGGACTTTTCGCCGCATTTTGCGACGAACGCATTTTGCTTCAACACCGCCATCGTCTGTATGCACATACAAATAATTAACTGCACTTGAAGCTTTCATAAAATTAAAAATTAAACACCCAAAACTGTACATGGCATCATCACGAAGACAAACTATATGTTTATACGTGAAATTCCGGAGGGGACATCGGATGGCGTCGCGTGGGGACGTAATGACGTGTGCCATTAATCGAACTATGTACTATAACATGTAAAATGGGAACATGAAAGGAATATTCTAAAAGCAACTCATGTAAACACCATAATCATAATATTGGCTTATTTAGAATAAGGTAAATAATTAGATTACTGATGTCCATGTAAACGTAGTCATTGAATTACATGTTCCGATTAATATTTAGTTTAACATGCAAAAGTGGCTTCAATTTAAGAATTCTGGTCATCTGGAGTGTAAGACCAGAAAGGTATTTCATTTAAGTACCCAAACGCAAACCTTAATAATGCATTACAAATGCACGGTCCTGTTGAACACACCTTTAAATAATTAACTAATAATGTTTTAATAAATATTAGTAATTTTTAAAGGGGTCCTATTATGCTTTCACTTTTTCAACTTTAGTTAGTCTGTAATGTTGCTGTTTGAGCATAAAAAAGATCTGCAAAGTTACAAAGCTCAAAGTCCACTTCAAAAGCAGATATTTTATTTAACAGAAATCACTTTTCAAAAACTACAATGAACGACTCGTTTGGACTACAACGCATATTTTCTGGGATTTGTGATATCACAAAGATCGACGAATGGGACGAGACCTGGTAATGAGTGTTATCACTATGTCAGAGACACGCTAGCTTTCCCAAGGCAGACGAACTTAAAGTGGTTACAATCATCCGGGTTTAAATCACGCTCAAATTGATTTGAT